GGCATGTGACCTATCATGAGATTGAGACAACCTTAGAGGCATTAGTGGGACCAACATACATTCAATATTGCATAAACATTTGACTGTCAAAAAAATTTGTTCGCGTTGGATTCCACACAATTTGTCAATCGCTCAAAAAAGTGTCGATTGGTCCAAGGAAATGCTCAAAAAATACGATCGCGGTGCTTCGAAACACGTCTATGACATCGTGACAGGTGATGAATCGTGGATTTACGCGTATGAGCCCGAAAGTATACAGCAGTGACTGTATGGGTGTTTCAAGAAGAGCCAGATTCAACGAAAGTTGTTCGCGCACGAAGTACTTCCAAGCAAATGGTCGCCTGTTTTTTTCGGAAAAACTGGACATGTCGCAACCGTACCACTTGAACAACGCAAAACAGTCAATTTTGAGTGGTACACAACCATTTGTTTGCCAGTTGTCTTCCAAGAAATCAGCAAAACCAACTGCCGAAGACGGATCACTCTTCACCACGACAATGCGACCTCTCACACATCAGCTCAAACAACTGCATTTTTGAACATCCAAAACATCGATTTGATGAGTCATCCGCCGTATAGTACTGACTTGGCACCGAATGACTTCTTTATATTCCCGCACGTAAAAAAGAAACTGATAGGTCAACGTTTTTCGACACCTGAAGAAGCGGTTGGTTCAAACGCATGCAAAAATGTATAGATCTTCATGGGGAATATTTTGAAAAATAATGAAGGGATTTTCGATGATTAATATTTGTTTTTGTTCTCTAATCCCGAAATATAGGCAACCCTCGTAAGGCAGGAAACAGAAGCTCGTTTATACCAGTGGTGCTTAGTTCGAACATTTGATAAGGTGACTTTTTTTTTTTAAATTGAAAGGGTATATTTTTAGAAGAGATTGATTTTTGTATCAAGATAGAGAGGTGGAAAGCCAAAACCTTTATCAAAAAGTTTATTTCCTTATATATGATGGAATCGGCCGATACTTGATGAAAATCCATAACTAACGTATTCCAAAAACACTTTATTGTGAGATTTTCACTGAATTGTTTTACAAAAACGCAACACGTGTTTCGCCATACAATGGCTTCATCTGGCGTGTCTTTCAACTAATTCTACACATTCAATACTAAATATATATATAGTTTATGGAGTACCTGAAATCAAAGTACCTGTAAACGAAGTACCTGAATTTTAAGTAGCTGATATTTTACCTGAGTTTCTAACGAATNCATTAAGATATGCAACCTCCTGCTGCCGGTGAAGATCTCCGCGGCAAGTATCAGCACAAACTTCGACAGATCTGGTCATCGGAACTGTCGGGGAAGAACAAAGTTGCTGCAACAAATATGCTTGCCGTTCCAATCTTACTCTACTCGTTTGGAGTAGTGAAGTGGACTCGGGAGGAGCTGTATCAACTCGACGTAAAGACCCGAAAAATGATTCATCTCTATAGGAATTTGCATCCCAAATCGTCCGTTTCACGGTTGTATTTCCCCCGACAACAGGGAGGCCGTGGAATTTTGAGTTTGGAGTGTCTACATGACAGAATGGTGCTGGATACGGCCTGTAAAGTCATCAGGAGTTTGGATCCCCTTCTCTGCATGGTCCGTGACCATGAGAGAGCAGAAATTGGAGCATTTCTCTTTAGGGCAGCTGCCCGAGCAGCTGATGAACTCGGTATAGTTTTCGACACTGAACGAGGTGACCACAACTCTGTCACCGAGTTGAAACCTGTTCAGCAGAAAGCTCAGATGAAAGCCGCAGAGATCACCTTACTTCTGCGGAAACACAAGGATAAGCCAATGCATGGCGTCTTCTTCAATAACATTGGAAACCTTGGCTTATCAAAGCGCCTGACCTTCGCTTTTCTCAGGTCGAGTGGGCTGAAGTAAGAAACTGAGGGGTTCATCATGGCTTGCCAGGATGGTGTCTTATCCCACTGGTACTACCCAATGAGGAGGAGCACAATCTTGTTGGAAAACTATCCACAATTCGCAATATAGAATTGAACTGTATGTCGTTGTTGATACTTGGCATAACTTGATTAGTCAGCAAATAGAAATATACGATATGTGTTCCAAAAATAAGGTACTTAAATATTGAAATTTTGCCGGCTACGTACATTGAATTAGCCACTTTCTCATTATTTTTATGTTGGTACACTCGTGTCACAGTTTCAGCTGTATCTGGTATCTGTAGAGTAGGGAGGGTCCTTCTAGGTCATCGTCCATCCTGTCCTTTCCAGGAAGGTGAACAGGTCACTAGGAGACATCTCCTTCACATTTGCAGGTGTATGCTAAGACTCGCCGAACAGACACTCTCTTTGGCAACCTTGAGGTGTCTCACGGTGGCCTCCATGAAGGTTTTGGAAGCTGCAGTGATATTACTGTCTTTGCGCGGCTTCTTCAACCTTCTTGGGGTTCCCTCCATGGAGGTGGCACAAGTGAGGGAGCTTTCCTGCAGGGGCAGCCGGTTTCTTACCTTTATTCAAGCCGGAGCTCTTGACACCCGCCGCATGAAGTGCCCTTGCTGTTGGAGGTGATCTGCTGTCAAGCGGTAGATTGGGGTGGATATTTCTGTTCATCCCCAGCCACCGCCTTAGATTGAGGTGAGCACTTCTGTCCAGCCTCGGTATTGGTGTTTGTTTTTGTTGTTTCTGTTTTTGTGTTGTTTCATTCAAGTGTGTTCCCACGAGTAGCAAGGGAAGAGTTGGTCACCTCTGGCAGAGCTCCGCGTTACCAGAGGTAGGCTGGTTACAATGAAGTTTCGCCCAGTTCCCCAAGGGGATCGTTCGTGACCGCATATCACCCTGCGGCCATTCAGCTGTCGGCACGATTCCTTACACCTTATCTTGGGTAGGCTGGTCCACGGTGGCATGTTTTACAAAGGCTTTTGGGGGGTTTTAGTTCCCCTCACCCTACTTATTTCTGCTACTGACCAGCCACATTGGCTTCCCGGAGAGGGCCTCCAGTCCCCGGGCCGTTCCCCTATCCGCCACCTGGGGACGCGCCCGATAGGTAGCTCAATCCACGGGCAGTTTCGGCTGTTTAGCATGTTTAATTTGTTGGTGAGAAGCATAAAAGTAGNAATTTTTTTTTTTTTAACCCCTCCGGGCCAACATCAAGGGAGTGCTGATACGCGATTAACCCTTTCATGGCCACGAGCGTGGAACTTTATATACAGAATGTCACACAATATATCAATCCAATAAATGACATCTTCGTAGGGGGAGATCTCATCGACTTTACTTTCAAGCTTGTCCTTTTTAGGACAAATCAGTGGTTCAACCCAGCACCACTGATGAGACCAAGTGAGTCAAAACAGCGATGTCTGCTGGTGAAGTACTTCAGGCTGTCTCGCAGCCGTAGGTGGAGATGCCATCGCCTTGACTTTAAAATAATTTTTCCAATACTGAACAATAGTTTAGAGCCAAGTAAACTCCCTCACTTTGGACCTTTCCATCTACTTACTGTGTTGGTACTTTGAATGCTTTCAATTTGTATTTCAAATATTCATTTTCTCGGGTACATTCATCGAAAACACCTTTGTTGACCATATTTTCAAACCATAATCATCGTCTTCTTCCATGAAACCATTACCGGCCTCCTCCATCAAACAGGTCGAGTATATATGCAAGGAAGCAACACGAGGACACTAAAAATATAATGACATCGACCGCCATCATTCTTGGGTGTCAATTTATCCTCGTGACATGAATTTCGATGGGGATTCCTCGGCAATACATATCAACGCAATTTAATTTCCTCCCACATCCGAATTCGAATATGGTCTGTGAATGTTTAGTGGACAAAGTACCAAAATTCGAGTGATGACGTGTGGACGTATACCGTACGCCAGGAACGGGAATGGCCACGGAAGATACACACAAATTGTATCAGTTGTTAACACTTCTTTGTTGCTACCATGTTTCACTTGCTATTGTTTTCAATGATGAGTTAGTGCGCGAAAAGGGTGTTGAAATGAGTAGATTTTCACAGTTAATATTGTAGGCGATAAAATAGAATGCAAATTTTTACTGGTAGTGATCAAATTTTTATTTNCACCAATTAACTCAAAAATTAATTTTTCATCAAGATAATCTTCTCAGAAATTGTTAGGAAATTGCACCTGCGTTTGAACCAAAAAATAAATAAATAAAAAACACACACAATCGAAATGATGGTTATCACCTGATATGAAGATTTCTTGTAGAGATTTTATGATAATACAATATTTATTATGCCATAACCGGAAGAATTTGTTTCAGGCCATTAAATGTTTAGTACCTGATTATGGTCCGCTTGATGGCCTCTTTGAAGTTACGAAAATCGACACAAAATTTCAGGGAAACTAGAAATTATGAATATATTGCAAAGAGAACGACGACCAACCGAAGTTATAATTGTTTTAGCAACTGGAGATGGCGAGAAATTGAACAACGGAAATTAAATAATTTTGCTGTCTGGAAATGATCTGACGGAGGAAAATGTCTCCTTTGAATACACAATAAAGCCCCTTAATTTTATACATAGTATAAAACAAAGCAATTTCCCGCTGTCTGTCCCTACGTATACTAAGATCTTTAAAACTACGCAACGGATTTTGATGCATTGATGAAGGAAGGTTTATATGTATATAATATACATAATATAGTAGAGAAACACTGATAATTTCAGAGGTTTCTCATGTGATGTCGTAAATAAACACATTTATTTACTACATTTATCCCATTAACAGTAAGATCCTAAATTGCGAATTGTAGATAGTTGTTCAACAAGATTATACCCCTCCTCATTGCGTACTACTAGTAGGATAGTTCCTTTGTAACTTTCCGGGTTAAAGAACTGGAAGGAGAGATCTTACAGAGTGACCACCCAGATCTCCTGATTTGAGTCCACTGGGCTTACTTTGGGATAGTTGAAATCAAAAGTGTGCAAGACAATGTCAATTACTGTGGATAATTTGAAGAAAGAAACTCATAAGACCTGTAGGCTACTCACCTCTGATAGTGTCCATAATGTACGATAGTTTGCCTTTTATATTTCGGGATTTGGCAACCTTAGTGTTGCAATCTGGCGTCTGACAGTTCTATCGTAAAGTTGGACATTTTTGAGCTTATACGTACTCAGAACGTTTTAACATACGCGCGCTATTTGTGTTGTTTATAGTAAATTAAAAGATTCATCTTGGTCCAAAAATGGAGTTAAATAGTGAACATTTTCGTGCGATTATTTTTTACAACTTTTGACGTGGATTAACTCAGCAACAGTTCAATTTTTGGCGACGAAGCTCCATCATGGACCAGTGTTTATCGATGATATGATGAATTCAATCGTGGTCGTAGTTCACTCCAAAACGAATTTCGTGAAGGTCGTCCAAAATCAGTACTCCAGTCATTTAAGCTCAAATTAGGTAAGAATCTCGGAATTTGAGATACCCAGCTGTAAGTCTGTAAATACTTGTATATTATTATCCTAAAAGTTGTCTGAAAACCTACATTTGGTAGGGTGTACGCAACTATTAAATTTCCAGATCAAAGGTAACAAAAATCGATTTCGACCGGAGGCACCGGTTGACCTGAAGTGATCCTGTGACCGCGCGCTCTCCGCTCTCTATCACTGCATGAAATTTTTTTTTAAACAAAATTTGTAGAGTATTATGTGTTCTACAATATTGATAATAAATACAAATAGCCCATATAAAATGGGATGTTTACAAAAAGCGCATAAAACCGATTTTTGTGACCTTTGACCTTGAAATTTAATAGTTGCGTACACCCTACCAAATGTAGGTTTTCAGACAACTTTCAGGGTGTCAATATATAAGTATTTACAGACTTACAGCTGGGTATCTCGAATTCCGAGGTGAACTTACTATAATGACTGGACTACAGTTGTTGTTCCGAAAACCATTGATGCTGTGCGCGAACTGATATTGAAAGATCGTCATGTGCCCTACCGTGAGATTGAGACAACCTTAGGCATTATTTGTCAATCGCTCAAAAAGAAGCTCGTGTCGATTGGTCCAAGGAAATGTTAAAAAAATACGACCACGGTGCTTTGTAACACGTCTGTGACATCGTGACAGGTGATGAATCGTGGATTTATGCGTATGAGCCCGAAAGTAAACAGCAGTCGACTGTATGGCTATTTCAAGAAGAGACAAAACAAAAGTTGTTCGCGCACGAAGCATTTCCAAGCAAATAGTCGCCTGTTTTTTTTCGGAAAAACTGGACATGTCGCAGAACAGTCAATTTTGAGTGGTACACAACCATTTGTTTGCCAGTTGTCTTCCAAGAAATCAGCAAAACCAACTGCCGAAGACGGATCACTCTTCACCACGACAATGCGACTTCTCACACAGCGGCTCAAACAACTGTATTTTTGAGCACCCAAAACATCAATTTGATGAGTCATCCGCCGTATAGTCATGACTTGGCACCGAATGACTTCTTTATATTCCCGCACGTAAAAAATAAACTGATAGGTCAACGTTTTTCGACACCTGAAGAAGCCGTTGCTGCATTCAGAATGCACCAACCGCTTCTTCAGGTGTCTTCATGGTTCAAACGCATGCAAAAGTGTATAGATCTTCATGGGAAATATTTTGAAAAATAATAAAATGATTTTCGATGATTGATATTTGTTTTTGTTCTCTAATCCCGAAATATACGCAACCCTCGTAAGGCAGGAAACAGAAGCTCGTTTATACCAGTGTTGCTTATCGAACATTTGATAAGGTGACTTTTTTTTTAAATTGAAAGGGTATATTTTTAGAAGAGATTGATTTTTGTATCAAGATAGAGAGGTGGAAAGCCAAAACCTTTATCAAAAAGTTTATTTTCTTGTTTAGTTTTACTTTTAGTTCAAAACTTGATGCATTGTATATCGTTGTAATGTCATAAATGTTGAAGCAGAATTTAAAGACCTTTATCCCTCCCATTTGAAATTTTTCATATATGGCATATTAGACGGATGGAGTAGCTGATAATGCTCACAACTAAATTTGATCTGTTTCACAGTTTTTTTCAGTCTCAAATCATTATCGAATTGAGAGTGGCCCGTTTTCACTGGATCACACTGTATACGTCTTAAGTAGGTCATACAGGGAGTGAGCCAAGAATATGACCGGAAAGAAGAGAAAGCCTGAATATGCCAGAAGTTCAATATTGAAATGAAGTAAATAAACTTTTACTTCTTTCAATTGAGAACATTTTCCTCAATGAATACCATGTTGAAACTTTCAGTTTACAGTATTCTTTCATTCATCTCATTTTAATATATGCCATTCTGTCTGGTATTCTGACGTCGTGATAGTGAAGGAAACATTCATCAAAATAAACGATGTAAATATGACAAATTCAAGGTGAAACTTAATTATATAACAGAAAAAAATGTCAGTCTGTGGATCATTATCATATTTACGTAGCCGTGAACCTTGATGAACCAGCGAAACTGAATTTTATGATTTTTGTGTATTATTGCTCGATCTTTGAAAAACACCTAAATTGGTGTTACCAGTAATCCGTTAAAAAGCAGCGGAGACAATGGTTTTGGTATGGGGAAATGGTGAGAGAGATCAAAAGATGCCTCAATATTTTTATGGCAAATTAATTTTGCCAAATTATCTTGTTTTTTATGTGATGCAAGTTTTTGACTCCATCAACGATTCTTTCGATAATTCTTCACACTTCCCGAAATTATTGGTAGGTCATGCCATTTTGTGTCTTCTGAGACGTATAGCACAAATCAAGTGTCTTTCAAATATTTAATAATTACGTTCACTTCTTTTTTTTTTAAAAAAAACGAAACACAAGCACTACATGAAAATCCTTAAGGCGCTCACAGAGCGATGCCTGTGCGAAAGTAGCGATTCACATTGGATTTGAATCACTCCAGATGAAAGAGTTATCAAACACTGAAGGTCGAAGTGTACTGAGTTGAACCTCAAAACTATGAGCAGCCACAGTCCGTCGCGTATTTCTCATATGTACCGATCTTGTTGAAATCAAATGTGCTAAGCCACTTGAACACTTCCCGTGAAAGTATCTATAAAAGAGAGACAAATCTCCAACCTTTCTTCGATGTTCCACACTATCAAGGTTGCACGTGATGTTCGCGTCTCCAATCAGGCGGATGGTTCTTTTCTGGGTGGAATCCAGCAACTTCAGGGTATGTTTCATGGCAGAGCTCCATACATGAGAACAATACTCCAAAGATGGTCTGATCTGAGCTTTATAAAGCATCAAAAGTTGCTGAGGTGTGTACAGTTTTCT